CTCTCTACAAATTGGAGGTTATGAAGTTATTTTGGCCTTTTCTATAAGCATGAAGAGCCCACATGCAATGATACCTTTTCAAGTCATTTAGACCAGATGACTGTATCTAAACACTTTCTTTCCACTCAAAGAAACAACATTATGAGAGGATTATCTGAAGTTGGGAAAAGAATAGATTACCATTCATCATCCCTATAATATGTATATTTCTTAGAAGTGAGTGTATCAGATATGTTTATATTGTTTATATACACATATGTTATTCTTTCTGAGTGTGAAATTTATGAAGTGAGAAATACTGAGCTCCAGGTAACATGCTTGAGTGTTACAACAAATGGACTTCAGCTAGCACAGCTAGTAGGGAAATATGGATCACAGAATCCAGTATTGATCTCTAGATCTTTCGTTCAGTATCTCTGTCATCTCCAGGGGGATGGAGTATTGATGTACAGTATCAAATGGTTTTTATTTATACAATAATGAAGGATAGAAAAACATCAGACAAAATTTGGAAAAGATGTTTGCATCTTCATCATTATTGATATGACCCTTTTTTTTTTTTTTTTAGTGCACCGAATACCAAAACCAAAAACCAGACTCATTTCTGTCGAGTCAGATCCGACTCATTGCGACCCCTCCTTGGGTTTCCTAGGTGGTATCAGTAAGGAAGTAGATTGCCCAATCTTCCTTCTGAAGAGTGACTGGTGGGTTTGAACCTCCAGCCTTCTGGTTAGCAGTCAAGTGCCTTAGGCACTATGCCACCAGAGCTCCTAATACACTGGATACACATTATCAAAGATTTGGCACCAGTTTTAGTTTCTCAAATTGTGAAAACGTTGGGGATTTTAGGACTTTTTAGAAAATCTGGTTAAAATTCACATTAGGTGTTTTTGTTTGTTTCTTTTCTTTTTGCTTCATAGAATGCCAAGTTAGCATTTTATGTTAATTAAGAAAGTATTGAAAGTGACTGAAACTGGAAGCATTACTTTCTGTTTGGTTATTGGATGTATAAATATGTGTCAGAAAACTTAAGTGTCTTATAGAACATCAAGTGTTCTCTATTTTAATTCTAGAAGTATTTCTGAAGCACTTCAGTATGGCAGTCTATTGTATTTTTAAAATAAAGAAAGAAAATTTTTTGGTTATACATTAAAATGAAATCTAATAAAGAAATATGACCCTAGTATATCTTTGCTGAGTAGAATGGTATACACTTACACTTAATTAAAAGTTCTTAAAATACAAAATTCCCTAAAGAGAACATGAACTTTAACCAGCTGCCTATGCATCTTAGCAACTATGTTTTGTGTCTACTAACAGTATGACTGGAAGACTTGTACTATGTCTACAAAACTCTGCCATGAACTGCTTAAAAATACTTGTGAATAATTTGAGGTCAGCTAGCAATAAAGCTTTGTGTGAAATGCCATTAAAAAACCTATTAACCATGCTACTAGTATATTCAAGTCAAGCTGTTAAAATACATTCATATAAACATAGAAGAGATTATACATACACTGTGTAGAATTCTGTGGTTGACTTTTGAAATCCAAATAAAAGTTATATAACCCTTAGAATAAAATGCAGAAATAGAGCAGTCTTTTATAAGAGCTTGTTCATCTAAAAGCATGGAACGTTAATTACTCTATTAGGTTGTTCTATTGGTACAATATAGAGCAGATTATAATTTTGGAATGAGATACCTACTTTCATAATAACACAGGTGTTCCCCTACCACACCCCACCAGGAAATTTTTCTGGTTTGCAGTAATTATAGCTTTGCAACTTTCTAATAATCTTTGTGGTAGATGGGGGTGGTAACAGGAAAGAGGGATGAGGAGGTAATTTTAGAGGCTGAATAAACAAAGAGAAGCAAGTGGGAATATGGGTTAGATGTGAGGTGATGGTGATAGAAGAGTGGGGTGGCCAGGAAGACTTCTCTTACCTATAGTAGAATGATTTCATACCCCTTCAACACCCACCACATATAATTTTAAAAGTGTGAGAACAGGTCTAGCTACACTGAGAAAATAAAATGTAGATTGATCTCAGACAATCTGTTGGTAGAAAAATTTAACTTCATAGCCCTTGTTAATTAACATTTTCCCCATTTCCAAATTGATATTAAGAAATCCAGTGAAACTGTTTGGAAATTAGTATAACTTATTCAAATAATGGATATAAGTTGCATAATTATGAGACTAATCCTTTCAGAGACAGCAAAAGAAATAATGTCAACTTTCATTTTGTATCCTTGCTTCATTTAAGAATTCCCATTTAGTAGACAATGCTGTTAATAATTATTGAAATGAGCACTTTTTAATATACATTTTCTTCTCTATCAGTTTTTTATAATGTGCCAATAATGCTTTGGTCATTACCGGTTTCATGATCATATGAGAAACATTAAATGAAATGCCTTAAACTATTTCTAGACTATCTACGATTCTGAAGGCAAGTCAGATCAGATCAAATATTGGGAAGTGGTCAGAGGAAGGAATCTTAATCTAAATTTAATGTTTGCTACATTTTCATTTTCAATAAGGACACTCAGAAATTTCCTTTTAAAATAGGGGGAAAAGAGTTTAGTAAGGCTACTTCTCTAACCTATTGGAAAGAATACTTGAGAGAGACAGAGAGAAATGAAACTTTGGAGTCTTGAGTCTGTACAAAATTGGTAAGCAAGTGGCTGCCAGAGGGTCTGATACATAACAAGTATTTAGTAAATTTTGTACAATCAGTGGAGTTCTGGGGATATAGTAAGTTTATGGTAACATGCATGGTTGTGGTAGTGTATTTAATTTTTGTGCAAAAGCCAAGATGAAGTAGAGCTATGTCAGGAAGTGTGTGCAAAGTTCATATTTTTGCTATGTGTGCATTGATGTGATTGAAATACTGTGATATTCATTTAAGTTAGAAAATGGAATATACTGCATCTAACAGTTGAGTCATTTGGTAAAATATTCTGATATGATAAAATACTCTAAAATGCCTTATAAGACATCCTCGTAGATTTATGAACTAGGAAATGTTTGAGTTCTTTATCCAAGAAGTGGAGACAGGACTAAAAGAATTCTATGATTAGTTCATTGGAGCTAAAATGACCAACTGTAAAATGAATGCCAAAGTATTTTTTTTTAATATAATTAAATAAGCCTGATAAGAGTTGATAAAGTTAATGAAATTTTATATAAATTGCTTATTTACAGAGTTCTTTTCTTTCCCAGAAAATCATTTTATTTTTCAACTATTAGTTCCTTTGTAAAATATTTACTTATGCATCATAAACTTTCATCTGCTCCTATGACGCACCTTAGAATCTTCTCTTCTGCTTTTTTTCACCTCACCTTTTTTGGAGGCACTGACATAGCCCTTGACTTCTATCTATAATTATTCACTGAGAAGATTATGGGGTATGTTTATATCAGCTTTATTTTTAAAAGTAATGAATTTATTTGGAAACTCATAAAAATCTAAAATAGTAATAAGTGTTTTTTACTCTATTCTCAGCTTGTTAGGTCATAAATATACAGTATTGAGCAGATATTTCTGTATTCTTGTGTTTGGCTGGAGAAACTTAACTATATGTCTAATTTTATCTCAATTTTTTTTTTTTTTAAAAGATACAAAATGTGGTAGGGATTCTTTATATGCTTAACACTGATCCATGTGTTTGATTTATAATTATTTCTGTATTTAAATGAAGGATACTGTGGCACTAAATAGATGTGAATTTAGTGTACTTGTGTGCAGTGCTTCTTAATAGCGAATTTTAGTTTTACTTACACTCAATAAAACCAAGTGAAAGAGTTGTGTGTAAAATGACAGCATAAACAATTTAAGGTATGAACATTTTTTAGAGCTTGTTATAGCCTACAAAATTATACAGAATAGTGTAACTGAGTCTGCTTTAATGCAACTATATTTAAATAGTATTTGCAATAAGAGATGTCGATTTTGGTGATTAGATAAAATGTTTTGAATAGACAAAATGTTTTATTTGAAGCATGCTTGGTAGCGTAGTGCCTATGGCACTTGACTGCTAAGAAGAAGGCTGGCAGTTCAAACCCACCAGCCACTCCTTGGAAGGAAGATTGGGCGATCTACTTCTGTGGTGATACCACCTTGGAAACTCAAGGAGGGGTCGCTATGAGTTGGGTCCGACTCGACGGCAATGAGTTTGGTTTTTTGATTTGTTAGAATATTTAGATGAGTCCCTGAACTTCCCTTGGAGAAAGTGACGATAAGAAGAACTATGATTGACCCAATCCTGGTCACTTCCCAGAAAGGGTAAAGGTATAAGGGCTCTTGCTTTCCAGTTCTTTCAGTGAGCTACCCCTGCACAGAGCAATTCCGTGCAGGCTTCTTGCTCCTGTGTGTAGGCTGTGGCTGCAGCTATGGCTTCTCCGCAGCTCCTGTCCCGCTGCTGCAGGCATGGGGGTTGTCATTTTACTGTGAAACGTCTGCAAAGAAACTGTTCTTGGTTATTGAAAGTATTAGTCTTCTAAAAACAGTATTCTCTAGTACAGATTTTGACTAAAGGCCAGAATGAAGCGCTTCTCGTTTTCTTATTGAATAGCAGTATCTCAGCATCCTTACATTCAGGGACAATAATCAATTACTTCTTCTGTTTAATCCAATGAAACGATTACGATTAACCTTTCTTTTTCAGTTCATGCAAAGATGAAGTCCCACGTCAAGACTGCAATGTATATGTGATTCCTCATTTCGTTTTAAGGACTTTGTTGCTTTTGTTAAACATACTGATTTTTCATAACCTGTTTCTATGATTTTAAATTGTAAATATTTATTTTTCCTATTGTTAATGTAACAGCAAATTTGAAGACTGAGAACCATGTATTGAAGGGTGACTGCACTTAATGTGAAAAAATTTGATTCCTTTGGGTGTGTGAGTGTGGTCAGCCTTGCTATCGATTTCTTCTGTAGTGCACTGCCAAATCTTCTATTTAAGTATTGTGAAAACTCTTTGTTTTTTTCAGGTGGAATGAGTGATTTGAGTGTAATTGGTCATCCAATAGATTCAGAATCTAAAGAAGAAGAACCTTGTAGTGAAGAAACAGATCTAGAGCACGATCTAATTACTGAAACTTTACCTGAGATAATTGAAATACATATATACCCCAGTGAAGAAGATGAAGAGGAAGATGAAGACTGTGCAAATGCTACTGATGAAACAACCACCCCATCAGTGCAGTACATAAATGGGAAACATCTAGTGACCACCGTGCCCAAGGACCAAGAAGCCGCAGAAGCTAGACGTGGCCAATTTGAGAGTGTTGCTCCTTCTCAAAAACTTTCAGACAGTGGTGAAAATGATAATCATCAGTTTGTAATAGCTGAAACGGAATTGTCTACTGCAGTGCAGCCAGGTGAATCTAAAGAATCTGAATCATTTGAGATGACATGGAAGCCTGAGACTTACCCTGAAACACCAGAACACTTTTCAAGTGGTGAGCATGATGCTTTCCCCACCGTCCAATTCCATGAGGGAGAAGCCACAGATGGGGCAGACTCAGTCACAGAGAGAGGTCCTGAACTTGATAATCTGGTGCATAAAATTACTGAATCAATACCTCTGCTTCCTGAGGAAACTTCAGGAAATGCTGCCATTGATGAAGAATCTCAGAAAGTAGTCTTTTCAGGGGCTACAGAAGTAACGTTTGGTGAGGAGGCAGAAAAAAGTACTTCTATCACATATACTCCAAGCATCGTTCCTAGTTCTGTGTCAGCAAATGTTTCAGAAGAACAGTCAGTTACCCTAACAAGAAATCCACAACTGGATGATGCATTGTCCACCATGGAAAGCTGGGTAGAAGTAACTCCTAGACGTACTGAAGGGTTCTTAGGGACTTCTTCCTCAATTTCTATGCCAGAAGGCTCTGGGGACGGAGAAGAAGATAAAATGTTCACTGTGGTCACTGATTTATTACAAAGAAATACTACACATACACAAGGTACTTTAGACACTAGCAAGGTAATGATCACAGAAAACCTTTATCCTGTTCCTTTAACCACCATTTATTCTCCTTCTGAACAACCTTCTGCAGAAATAATACCTACCAAATTTATAAGTGAAGCAGACACATCTGAATGGATTTCCAGTACATCTCTTGAAGGAAAGAAAAGGAAAGACGAGGAGGAGGAAACTCCAGGTACAGCTTCTATAGTTGAGAAAGATTCACCCACACAGAGGTCAGATCAGTTAATTTTATCTTCTGAATTAGAAAGTTCAAATGAAACTACATCTAGTGATTCAGCATCTGCTACTAGGAAAAGTACTATATCCTTGACAACAGCCACACAGTCTGAAAGGGAAATGACAAGTTTTACTCTTGTCTTTACAGACACAAATGTTTTAGGCAATTTGGGGACACAGGTCACTGAGCACAGCAGTAGTAGTCATCCCGAGGTTCAGAAAGTGTTGACCACTGTACCAGGTATCCCTGTTTCTCTCTTTATGGAGCAGGGCTCTGGAGATGCTGCTACTGATCCAGAAACCACCACTGTTTCTTCATTTTTGTTAAATTTGGAGTCTGATATCCAAACCAAAAAGGAAGCAACTAGTACTTTGTCTTCCCATGTGGAAAATACATTCCCTTTTGAACCAACAGGATTCATTTTGAGTACTGTAATGGATAGACAAGTTGCTGAAATTATAAGCCAAACGTCCAAGGAAAACTTGATTTCAGAGGTATCAGGAGAGCCAAGTCATGGGGCAGAAATAAGGAGCTTTCCTACAGATTTTCCTTTGGAGGAAGATTTCAGTGGCGAATTTAGGGAATACTTGACAGTGCCTCCTCCCATAACAAAAGAAGAAACAATAATGATGGAAGGCTCTGGAGATGTAGCTTTTATGCATACTCAAACTTCACCTTCTGCAGTAGCTACTTCAGATCACATGTATCAGGTGACTGACTCAGAAGGACCTAGTAAAATCATGGTCAGTACTTCAGCCTTCCCTTGGGAAGAGTTCACAGCCTCAGCTGAGGGCTCAGGAGAGCAACTGGTCTCACTCAGCAGTTCTGTTGATCAGGTGCTTCCTAGTTCCATAGGAAAAGTTTCTGGTACAGAGTCCCCACTTATTGACCAAGGATTGGGAGCTATCACTGAAGTTGATAAAAGACTTACTGTTATACCAACAGCAGAAGCCAAAGGTATGGAAGCTCCAACAGCAAAGGGGGAAGTAATGGTTGGTGGCACAGTTTCAGTGGACTTTTTCCAAACTTTGGAGCCAGTAAAATTATGGCCCAGGCAAGAAATCAACCCTGTAAGACAAGGAATTGAAAATAAAACAGGATTAGAGGAAAAGAGTATAGAACAAAAGTCTTTTGAATATCCCCAGAGCTCTGTTGCAGCAGAGCAAACCATTTCCAATTCAGAAACATCTACGGGAATTGAGGTCCTAACCACAGATTATTCTACATTAACAATAGAGAAAACTTATAGTAATGGCAATGAGATGGAGGAGGAAGTCATTCCTTCAGTATACATGTCTATGCCAGATACACAGAGCTTGGAACCATACGCTGCTACCCCTGAAGCTACTGAGAAATCACACTTTTTCTTAGCTACTGCCTCAGTGACTGAATCTATACCATCTGAAAATATGGTTACAGATTCATCCATCAAAAAGGAGGAAAGTATAAAACTCTTTTCCAAAGATGTAGGATCGACAATTAAAGAGTCTGATACTGATATCTTATTTTCTGGACTGGGATCAGGAGAAGAAGTTTTACCTACTCTAGCTACAGTATCAGTGAATTTTACTGAAATGGAACAAATTATTCATACATTACATCCCCAATCATCTCAAGTGGAAGATTTAGAAACAAGGGTCTCGAGTGATGAAACTGAAGACTATGAGGGAATGGAAAATGTAACAAATGAAGTTAGACCACTCATTTCCAAAACTGACAGCATCTTTGAAAGTAGCCAAACAACATCCAGCTCCACCTTAATGGGAATTTTAAGTGATACCAGAGCAGAAGAACCCACTGTGGTACCTCTCATCTTTCCCACAGACACTGGACATCCTCAAAATCAGACTCTCAGTTGGGCAGAAGAAATGCAGACTAGTAGAACACTAACTATGACTGAACAAGTCTCCAATGAGGGTTCTTCAACAGCAGAAACTAAAGAAACAACAACCTCTTCTGCTTTTCTGGCTAGAACATATGGTCTTGAAGTAGCCAAAGGATTTGTTACATCAGCACCAAAACCATCTGAACTGTTTTATGAACATTCTGGAGAAGGATCTGGGGAATTAAGTTTGGTTGATTTAGTCCATACTTCTGGAACTACTCAGGCAACCAGACAAGGAAGTGCCACATTTGTTTCAGACAGATCCCTGGAAAAACATCCCCAGGATCCCAGTGCTAACGCTGTTACTACTGATGGATTCCCAACAGTTTCAGTAGTGCTTTCTCTTCGTTCAGAGCAGAATGAAAGCTCCCCTGATCCAACTAGTGCACCATCAACTACAATGTTGTATATGCAGTCCACAGAGGGTGCTGAAGGTAGTTTTCCAGACACCTTCAGAGGATTTGAGGACTCCTCTTTAAAGCCTGACAGAAGAAAAGCCACAGAAAACATTATTATAGATCTGGACAAAGAGGACAAAGATTTATTATTGACAATTACAGAGAGTCCCATCCTGGAAATTCTACCTGAGCTGACGTCAGATAAAAATACTATCATAGATATTGATCACACTAAACCTATATATGAAGACATCCTTGGAATGCAAACAGACCCAGATCCAGATGTACCAGCAGGACTACATGGCAGTAATGAAGAAATTGCCCAAGTTCAAGAGGAATATAGTACAACTCTTAATCCTTCTTTAACTGAAGAAAAACTTGAGGGTTCTGGTGACACTCTTCTCACTAGCTACACTCCGGCAACACAAAATGAATCCATGACTTCTGAGGACAGAAGCCGATTAGATCACACGGGTTTTATCTTCACAACTGGAATCCCTGTCCCTAGCACAGAATTAGATATTTCACTTCCGACAGCAGCATCCCTGCCTGTTCCTAACAAATCTTCCACAGTTAATCCAGAGATTGAAGAGCTGAAAATTGAAACTAAAACCTTGGATGACATTTTTGAATCAAGTACTCTGTCTGATGGTCAAGCTATTGCAGACCAAAGTGAAATAATATCAACGTTGGGCCATCTGGAAAGGACACGGGAGGAATATGAAGAAAAGAAATCTGTAGGCCCTTCATTTCAGCCAGAGTTTGCTTCAGGAGCTGAGGAGCCATTGATAGATCATACACCCTATGTAGATATTGGTACCAGCCACCTTACGGCTCAGAGTTTAACAGAGGCACCTTATGTGACAGAAGGATCCAGTCCGCCAGGTTATACTGATACAACACTAGCAGTTTCAGCATTTGCGAAGTTGCCCTCTCAGACACCATCATCTTCAGTCACTGTCCACTTAGGCAGTGGAGCCTCTGAACACATAGAGGTCCTTGAGCCAAGTACTCTGCCAGGTACAGGTGTGGGAGCATCTCAGACGTCCTCTGAAGATTCTGTCAAGGAAGTTTATGCAAATATTGAAGCAACATTCAAACCATCACCTGAAAAACACTTTCACATAACTGAGCCTCCATCCTTGTCTTCCAACACAGAATTAGAACTTTCAGAAGATGAAAGTAAACTTAAGTTATTAGAAGAAATGGGAGGTTCTCCTACAGCACTAATTGCTGAGGAAGAAATTGAGGTTCATCAATACTCCAAAAACAAAACCTACGTTCAGCTTCCCAGAGAAATAATCCAGGAGTTTCCCAGTATCACAATGGATGAAACTGGAACTGTTGTCACAGCTGCAGGTGGAATTAGGTTAGAAGGTGCTTCACGATGGCCACATTCCACTTCTGCTCCTGTGACTCACGGGGTTGAGACACATGTGGTGCCTCATCCTGGCCCACTCTCTTCTGAGAAGCCCACCATTCCTTCTTTGGAGATAAACCCTGAAACACAAGCAGCTTTGATCAGAGAGGAGTATTCCACAGTAACAGCATCAGAACAAGTATCGGCGAGAATTCTTGATTCCAGTAATCAGGCAACAGTAAGCACTGCGGAGTTAAACACCGAGCTAGCAACACCATCATTTTCCCTTTTGGAACCTTCTAATGAAAGCGATTTCCTGATTGGCATTAATGAAGACTCAGTGGAAGGCACAGCAGTCTATTTACCAGGTAAGGCCATAATATTTATAAATCCGTTTCTAAGCCTGGAAACAGTTCTTTGGTCCTCACAATTATGTTAAGTATTTTTATTGTGATGTTAAATCAACATAGATTCTTATATTGTTCACTCACATAGCAGCAGGTCAGGCCTTGGTATTGAGTCTGTAATGAGATGCAATGAAAGTAAGTATAGATTATTTCTACACTTTAAATATATACTTCAGATTTTCCTGGTTTTAAAAACAACGTACATTGCAAAATAAAAAATAAGGTTGGTAATGGGGTAAAAATTTATTTTTATTCACAACTAAAATATTGTCATATTGCTATATCACATGTTCTGTAGCTATGCACTTTAGTTTTAAAAACAAACAAAAAAAAACACTGTTTTGTTTTTGTTTTTCAAATTTCCCATTGATGAGTGTGACTGTGACAATATCAAATTCTGGCAGGCTTTTAAATATGAGAGTAGTAAGTAGCTGTGATTAATGCTTTGCATAGTTTGGGCAGTATCTATTCTCTATTTATACTTTTAGGAGCTCTGGTAGCTTAGTGCCTAAGGCACTTGACTGCTAACCAGAAGGCTGGCAGTTCAAACCCACCAGCCACTCCTCAGAAGGAAGATGGGGCAATCTACTTCCGTAGTGATATTGCCTTGGAAACCCAAGGATGGGTGGCTATGAGTCAGGTCCGACTCAATGGCACATAGCAACAACAACAAAATTCATACTTTTAGGAGCTCTGGTGGCGTAGTGCTTAAGGCATTTGACTACTAACCAGAAGGCTGGTGGTTCAAACCCAACAGCCACTCCTCAGAAGGAAGGTTGGGAAATCTACTTCCGTAGTGATATCACCTCGGAAACACAAGAAGGGGTCGCTATGAGTTGGATACGACTCAATGGCAGTAGTTATTCATACTTTTATATAATTTCCTTTCTTCATATAGTCCACACACCATTCCAATGTAGTGCCTAGCTATAGTAGGTATTCATTCAGTACACATTCATGCTCTGCCTGTTGAGAGAGACTTTCTATTTCTTTAATGAATGTACAGACAATGCAAATTTGATACTGCTTATATTAGGAGCTCTGGTAGCATAGTGTCTAAGGCACTGTACTGCTAACCAGAAGGCTGGCGGTTCAAACCCCCCAGCCACTCCTCAGAAGGAAGGTTGGGCAATCTACTTCCGTAGTGATACCACCTCGGAAACCCAAGGAGAAGTCACTATGAGTCAGGTCTAACTTGACGGCACATAACAACAACAACCATATAGATCATCGCATTTGATCTTTATAAAATGTTTAAAAGTTCAGGATGTGGAGATTCAGAGAGGTTCAGAAAGCTGCCCAAGGACATACAGCCATATACTAGTAAATGTGGGATTTGAATCCAGATCAGCCCAACTCTGGAGTCATGCTCTTTAATGGAAAGAACTGCTTTGCAGTATAGTCTTTAAAAAGCAACTGTTATTTGATGATATGTAAACCAGAAATCTTGGGATATTTGCTTTGTAGAATTTATTTTCCTCTTAATCTAGCCTGAGAATATTGAGAAGTTGACTTTAATGTGTTTCCCAGGAAGTTATTATTTAAATAACAATGTTTGTGGACTTGACAAGTAGGCACCATCACTTAGCTGCTAAAAGAAAGAAAGAAAGAAAAAAAAATAGTACTTTAAGGGTAGTTTTGGCTGAAATTGTACTTTGAATTTTAATAAATATATTTTACAGCCTGGCTACAGTTATAATTATTCTTCAGATTAGGTCAACATTATCCTTTCTATTTCTAATGCTTCATTTTGATGTGCTTCAGATAGAGTAAAATAGTCAAAAAATGAAATTTTTATAAATTGTTTGAAGTATTTTGTGAATAAAGTTTATCAAAAGTGGTTTACATTAGCGTTTTTTTTGTTGTTGTTGTTTGTTTGTTTGTTATTGTTGTTGTATATATCTGGCCGATATTTGTTCTTTTTTAATTTAGTTTAAATATAATTCAGGTTGGTAAAAATGTGATATAGAAATAGTAATAACCGCTAAATACATATAGAAAGAGGAACAAATACGTAGTAGTTATCCAGTCCACAATGTTTACAAAGACTTTGTACTATGTATTCATTCAAAACAAAACAAAAAAAAGTCAACTTAGTTTAAACAGTAAAGTAAACAGTTCAGTAAACAGAACTAATATGGTGTTTCCTGGTCTATCTGTTGCAGATTCAACTTTTAGAGCTTAATGCAAACTGTTTAGGGAAGAATATAATTAAGGAAACGAAACTTTTCTCCTTCTTCAAGTCCACAGAAAGACCCACTTTCTTGCCAATCCCTTGTTGCATACTCTCAGCCTCGCGTCTAGTGTCTGTGGTGGGAATAGCAATACTATTTTATATTTGTGTAGTACATCATAGTTTACAAAGCAATTCCACATAAGTATCACTTTGATTTTGCATGGAGCGTAATATATAGATATGTTGTTGTTGACTGTAGTCTTGTCTCTAGGTGTTTTAAATGGAGAAAGATAAAAACTAAAATGGCTATTTTTGAAACTATAAAAGGAAGAGTCTTAGAAAAAGTGAGACAGTTTTTAAAAACGCAAGTGTGAGCATTTGAATTAACTTAATTTTAACATGAACCCCTAACATGTGAATGTGTATCTATCAAGTCTTTCTAATAGTTCAGAATTTACATAACACTCAGAAAGTTTGAGTTTGACTTCCCATTGTGGGAAAGTCTCATTTATCTTGTCCAGAAATACCTTGTTTGTTCTAATATCTCTTAAGTTCAATGTTTCAAAATTAGTTAGATGTCTTCATAAGAAATTATTTGAGGGTTTCAGTACTTGAAATTCCTAAAAATATGGTTGTATTTCATACATAATCTATTTTATTTTGATTATTTTGGGAAACTTAACTCTCATTTTTTTTTTCTGGAATATTTGGAAACTTAAGCAAGTGTGACAAAGTATACAAATAATGAACATAAGCAATCAATGTAAATACCACTATCCAAATGATCCTACAGAATCAACTATGTGCTTCAAATTGTGTCAAACTGTTTACATCTAGGAAATATAGTTTGGACTGTTCTCCTCATAAATTTACATCTTTAGCCTTTACATTTATCTTTTAGAAGTGTCAATTTTATTTGTGTCTTAATAAGGAAATTTTAGGAAAAACTTGAGGTTTCATTTTTAGGCAAGGTTTTTGTATTTGGGTTTGTTTTTATACAGTAGAGTTTAATCCATGTGTTACTTTTCTTCAAGTATAGTTTAAAGGAGTACATTTGGAACGTGTTTTTGGAAAAGGCATGTTAATGTAGCAGAAGAGACTACAGTGCACACTTTCGAAGAAAAACAGTTTCTGAACATTAAGTGGTAAAAGGCAATAATAATTCAAATGATGGTAACAAGCCAGTCTGCTAAAAAGAATGCATGTTTTGTGTACCCAGCCATTTCACATGAACTAACCCCGTTTAAAAGAATACATTTTCCATTCACTGTGCACATATGTGTAATCATTTTGACTAAAATCAATTGCCATTATCATGCCAACTAAATCTGCAGTAGAATATATTAGTTGCCAGATACAGTACAAAATATTGTTTAAAAATAATGCTGATTGAATCCCAGAAATGAGTAGATGCAATTTGTAACAATTAGTTATAATACCAAGAAACACTCCAGAGAGTAAAGCTAATGTTAATTTTTGTGTGTAGTATCTCTAAATGCTATGGTAAAGCTTATATGATGGTAGCAGTAAGTGCTTTTTTTTTTTTTTTTTTTTGGCTAAAATACGTTGGAACCTTAGTGTTGAGCCTAATCACTTATTTTCCTGAACTTCGTAGGACCTGATCATTGCAAAATGAACCCATGCCTTAACGGTGGCACCTGTTATCCTACTGACACTTCCTATGTATGCACCTGTGTGCCAGGATACAGTGGAGATCAGTGTGAACTTGGTAAGATATTTTTGACTGAAAGATAGTAGTTCTTCTCCAGATTGCATTTATACTGCTTGAATGAATCAGAGAATTTCAGAGAAGCCCAGGTGTAAATGAATTATCTGTTAACAAATGAAATCAAGGCCTGAGAAGAATGTAATAAGGAGTCAAGAAATGAGGACAGATTTTTACTGCATTCTGTTATACTGAATTCTGTTAATACACACAAAATTCAGTGAGGCTTACTGAGGTCAGCCATTTCTTTTTCTGGTTTTACAGGTAAGCTTACAAATGTAAAGATGCATAAATAGTAGCAAAAAAGATTGAATCTGTACCCAAAATCTGCATAACAATAAATGATAAATTTGAATTTTTTTTTCTCAGAATACTATATTAAAATATAAAGGCATTTAGTTCTTATGTTTTGGGATAACTTGTACGTCTTTGGAATGAGAAAAATAGCCTTTTCTCTATCTTTTTTTAAAATAAATAAGGCCTCAGTTTTGATTTGAGAAAAGAAATGGAGTATATTATCCAGGTGGTCTTTTTAGATGTGCCATCAGTTTGCTTATAATGATTGAGTGAAGAATGGCCACCAATAATACTTTAAATTACACTGAGATACTGAGATAATATTCCAAAAATTCATGTTAAAAAAGCACTGTTTTCTTTTTTTTTTTAATTCACCATTGTTAGTGAGCTCATTTGTGTGCTATTAGTGGGAATATAGATGTGGAAATAGATAGCATTAAGCAATAATTGCATCTTGAAATATCAAATTCACATGTATAAAGAGATATATATCTGGTCTCCATTCTGTTTTATATTATTAATCAATTAAAAAAGGTTTAATGACAGCAAAAAACCACCAAAAAATATATGTTTGCATGTATGTATATAGAAATAATGTCACTGAACAATGTAGATATTGTTGAATGGGAACCTAAACTGCTGAGTAAACTTTCATCAAAAACACAATATAAGTGTATATGTAATCATATATATATATATATATATATACATACATACAACCAAACCCACTGCTATTGAGTTGATTTAGACTCAGCGACTGACACTGGGTTTCTGAAGCAGTAAATCTTTGCAGAAGTAGATTAACCCCTTCTTCCTTCCACTGAGTGGCTGGTAGGTGTGAACCCCCAACCTTCTGCTTAGCAATCAAATGTTTTAGGCACTGCACCACCAGAGATCCATAGATGATAGCTAGATACAACCAAACCAAACTCACTGACGTCGAGTCAGATCCGACTCATAGGGACCCCTCTTTGGGTTTCTGAGGCAGTTATCACTACGGAAGTAGATTGCCCAACCTTCCTTCCAAGGAGTGGCTGGTGGGTTTGAACAGCCAGCCTTCTGGTTAGCAGTCAAGTACCTTAGACACTATGCCACCAGAGCTCCCAGATAGATAGATGGAGATATAATTATATAGATATGTATATGTGAGTATATACGTTCTTAATATATAAACCAAAAACACCAAACTCACTGCCGTCGAGTTGATTAGACTCATAGCGATATATTTATACATCTATGTGACTATATGTACATATATCCATACAAATATAATAAAACACATAAGGGGCACAGTTACAGATACTTCTTAGATATTACCAAACATCTCATGGGATTGGTTTCCTGGGTTTGAAGGATTATGACCATAGTCTCGTGAAACATCTTGGTCAATTAGCATAACATAGTTCATAAAATTATGTTCTATATCCTAGTTTGGTGAGTAGTGTTTGGGGTCTTAAAAGCTTTTGAATGACCATCTAAGAAATAACTATTAGTCTTTACTGCTCTGGAACAAAAGAGAAAGGAGGAAACCAAATACTCAAAGAAGAAATTAGTCTACAGGACAAATAATCTTCATGAACGATGACCTCACCTACCTAGCGACCAGAACTACTGGTACCTGGCTAACATTACCAATTGTTCTAATCAAGGCCAAAATTGATGGACCCTAATATAATAAGAGAAAAATGTGGATTAAAACCTCATATTCCTAGAAACAAGCAAACAAACAAAAAACCAGACTTACTGGACTGGTTGGGACTGGAGGACTCCCCAGGCTATTGCCCTGAGATACTCTTCAAACCTTGAACCCAAACTAATCCCTGAGTCATCTTGTAGCTAAATAAGAGATTGTCTCATAAAATAATGACTATTACCCTTTAAAAAATCACCTATATGAGACCAAAGACTCAACAAGTACTTCAAAACAAAGATGAAAATGGAAGAGGGCAGGGAAACAAGATTAATGGAAATAGGACAACTAGAACAGAAATAACAATGTTTGTGCATTGTAAAGAGTGTAACCAATGTCACTGAGCAATTAGTGTAGACATTGTTGAATGGGAACCTAAACTGCTAGTAAACCTTCATTGAAAACTAATGTTATTAAAACAATAACAATAATTTAATAAGTCAGTATATGTGAAACTCCTGGGCGCTTAAAACTAATTGCTGTTAGATCAACTCCAATTCATGGTAACCCGATGTGTGTTAGAGGAGAACTGTGCTCCATAGGGTTTTTAGTGGCTGATTTTTCAGAAGGAGATCACCAGACCTCTCTTCAGAGATGTCTTGGGTAGACTTGAACTTCTGACCTTCTGGTTTGCAGCCAAGCACACTACCCATTTACATCAGCCAGGGACTCTCCAAGGCACTTAGCAAGCACTGTAGAAGCATTTGGTATCTTTAATATATTATTTCATCACCAATCTGCCTATTTCTTTAGGTAAGAATGTATTACATGCTTCATGGAAATTTAATTCATGTTGTGTATTTTAATTTATTTAAAATATTCTTTTCATTCAATATAAGTATTAATTAAATTTTTAGTAGAATTGAAAAATGTTAAAAGAATAAAGTCATTAATTTCATGAGAGAAGGACATAGGGTCTGTGTAGAAAGGGTCCATTTGGTATAGATCTTAAAATTGGGGAGGATTTTTAATAGGTAGTGGAAGGAGGTGTGGACACAGTGAATGCAAACATAGACACCCACAAACAACAGAATGTGTTTGAGAAACTGCAAGTATTCAGGTATGCCTGTTTATGGTTTTGGAGAGGGAACATATTGGGAGAGAATACTAGAAAGCGTTTGAGAAGGTCCTGGATCAAACGTACTGTGTAGTTTCACTTTATATTCTAGGCCAATGATTTTTAGATTTCACTGTATAGCAGAATCATCTGGAAGGTTTGAGTAAACAGATTATTGTCCCAACTCCGAGATTTTCTAATTCAGCAGGTCTTGATTAAAGCTTTGGAATTTGTATTTCTAAGATACTCAGGTATGCTGATGCTGCAGGTCCTGGAACCACATTTAGAAGACCATCCCATAGGCAAAGGAGCTCTGATGGCATAGTGCCTAAGGCAATTGACTGCTAACCAGAAGGCTGGCGATTCAAACCCACCAGCCACTCCTCAGAAGTAAGGTTGGGCAGTCTACTTCCATAGTGATACTGCTTTAGAAACCCAAGAAGGGGTTGCTATGAGTCGGATCTGACTCAAGGGCAATGGAGTTTCCCACAGGCAATTAGGATCCATGGAATGTTTAGAAGCAAAAGAGCAAAACTATCATGATAGTGATTAACGAAAATGACAGTTAGCAAAGTGAAGGATATATTGGCAAAGGAATGGTCTGGAAACAGAGAGGGCAACTAGGTGTTTTCAGAATTCTACATGTGAAGTAACTGATGAGCCAGAGGTGGTGGTGGGAGGCAAGGGGGATTCTTTATCAACTCTAGAGCTCGTGTAACTCTACTAGCAATGGAGACAATGACCCTACTCTGAATATCTTTGACATTTTCTTAGGGTTGCCAAATTTAACATATAAAAATACAGGCTGTCCAGTTAAATTTTAATTTCAGATAAAAAGAAAATAAATTTTTAATATGCGGCTATAGATAAAGGAGCCATAGTGGCACAGCAGTTAAGTGCTTGACTGCTAATCAAAAAGTCATTGGTTCAAACCAATTCTTCAGAAGAAAAGACCAGGCGATCTGTGTGATAAAGATTGTTGTTGTGTTTGCCATCAAGTCAGATCTGACTCCTGGCGACCCCTCCTTGGTTTTCTGAGGTGGTATCACTATGGAAGTAGATTGCCCAACCTTCCTTGCGAGGAGTGGCTGGTGAGTTTGAACTGCCAGCCTTCTGGTTAGTAGTCAAGTGCCTTAGGCACTACGCTACCAGAGCTCCCATGGGATGGATATATATATATATATATATATATTCTTTTATCTATATTTATAAAATTTTTCAATTTTATCTTAAATTAAAAAATTTAACTGGATATCCTGTGCTTTATCTGACAAACCTATACTAAATTGAATTTTTTGCTCCTTTTGAAACTAATTTTGTGCCATTTTATGCTTTCATTTCAGATTTTGATGAGTGTCACTCTAACCCCTGTCGGAATGGAGCCACATGCATTGATGGTTTTAATACATTTACATGTCTCTGCCTTCCAAGCTATGTTGGTGCACTTTGTGAAAGAGGTAAGAGATGTTGTAGCATTGATGTAGTGAAGATTTTTGATACTTCAAACATTGATTCTGAACAGCATCATAATGAATGGATATTTGTAGCAATTTTGGCCTCATTGCAGATTACTTCCTGCAGAAAAAAATAGTAAGTAATTTGACTATGTTAAGTTACCTTATGTGTGGATAGCTCTCCATGTCTGAACAAGTATTGACTTGATGATTATTGTTTTGCTGATAGACAGGAATAGTAGACACAAACACAGAGGTGAATTTAAGGACAACTAGCCAACAAAGTGGTCTGGTGGCATAGTGCCTAAGGCATTTGACTGCTAACTAGAAGGCTGGCGGTTCAAACCCACCAGCCACTCCTCGGAAGGAAAATTGGGCAATCTACTTCTGTAGAGATACTGCCTCGGAAACCCAAGGACAGGTTGCTATGAGTTAAAATGGACTCGATGGCAGTGAGTTTGGTGGTTTTGGTTTAGCCAACAAAAAGGATATTGTGGTATGTATTCTTCCTGGGGACAAATTAGGCATCCACCTGAAACCACATATGTGGTTTCTGTACCAAAGGGTGTTGAATTCAAATTTAGTGGCCATCATTTTCTCCTCTTCAGTATTGGAGACTTAATGGACATAGATTTCATAGCCAAACTTCTCTGGAGAATGAACTGATATTGTTAGAATATATTAGCTTTGTTTTGGCAAACACTATGTAAAAGCTATTGTGAATCTGTTCACCGTGAAATTTTTCTACTGAAGAAGCATCTACATTTTCTGAATGAAAGAAAGACTTATGTTCATGATGGTTTGAATCTCAGGATCTCTGTTATTTGTATTTTATGGCCAACCTGAGAGTGTATCTTAGGTGGTTAATGGTAAAATTTCTTAGTCTATCAATCAGAAACAGATTGCATGCTTAGCACACTCACTCTTGGAATGTTGATTTCCTCTCTTTAAAGTCATATGGTGGTTTGGCTTTGATAAAAGTGCTCACTGCCAAACTTCCATTCCACCAGACAAAATGAAAGTGTATTAGACACTCAGACACATTGGTCTGGCCCCGTGTTCTGCTTTGCAGCAATAATTTGGACTTCTCCACAATTAAAACAAAGCTAAAAGAGTGTATTGAATTGCCATTTAAAGGGAATGGGTGATTACTGAGTTTTTAGAGTTTTTTTTTTCCCCCCTTCTTTTTATCACATAGGTTGAGTCTGTTTTTTTTCGAATTTTACATAATAATAGGAAAGTAGGCATGACAGATCTTCTTAGAGGAAGAAGTTAGGAAAATGCCAGTTTGTTAAAGAAAGCAAAAGGTCACTTGAGAGATCTGAACAATGTTTAAATGATCCAGGCTTCCCTTGTTTCCATGTATAAGGAGCAATTAAAAAGTCATTTTTTCAACAAATATTTATTGAGACCTGCATAGTGCCTAAGGCATTTGACTGCTAACCAGAAGGCTGGCAGTTCAAACCCACCAGCCACTCCTCAGAAGGAAGGTTGGGCAATCTACTTCTGTA